TGTTCTAGAAGAGAAAAAAATATTGCAAATTCTAGTTCTTGTTCCACTGCCTAGTTGAGATAAAAATATATGGACAGTCATAAGGGCAGAGCCTGGAAACCAAGAGTTTTAGGAAGGGTGGCATCTGTTCCAGGAAGTACGTGCTCATGCGTTTGGTAAAGTAGAGCATGAGTAAGCAAGCTAAAGTAGGCAAGACATCTTTAACAGATGAGACTTTTTTGAGTGTTTTAAGGAAGATATTTCATGAACAGTGTGATAAAACCAGAAAGTCAGGGCTATTCTGATTTGAACAGAAAAAAAAAAAAAAACAGCTGGTAAACTGACTCAAGCTCTAATCCAGCAAAGATTTTATGATGCAATTTGCACCACTGGCAATCTATTACATCATAATATCATGTGCACAAACTGCTTTTCTGCCTTCCCACTAGCAAAACCAGAAATTTCTGAGCAAGCTCTGGGTTCAAACACTGAGTTGCTGCAAAAAAGGAGTTCACTGATGCATGTTATATGAACCAGATTATGGACTGGGCTGAGCTAATTTAATGATGAGTTATGAATGGAAGCCCATCTATAATAACAATATTTCAGACTGAGGAGATTAGAGTGAGTGAGTGAGACCAGAGCCTATGCTGGAGAAATATTAAGCCTTTTCAAAGACTACAAAGGAGAATGTAGCATCACAACAAAGAAAATATGCAACCTTGAGTCATTTATCAAAGGAATCAATGTGTGTAAGCAAGCATGCAAATGTACCCACTCTAAGTCAAATTCAATCTGCTCTACTGTATCATCTACTATTTACTTAAATAATGGACCCTAAGGCTGTTTTCTACTTGGGAATCATCAACAACCTTCAGGTACAGTAAGCAGAATACACATCAATAGGAATGGAAAATTCTTGTTCATCAAGAAGAGCCTTTTCCTGCACACATTTCCCATACTTCAGGTTCTCCTGCACAAGCCCACCACTACTCTGAGTGAAACACCTGCTTCCATAGTAAAGGCTGAAAGAGAAGCAGTTTTAACAGTGACTGATGGAGTTGTATATGGAAATGCAATTATATTTAACATAACATGTAGTATAGTATGTATCTACTGTTATATACTAAGCTTGATACAACCTGGGTGGTAGACTAAAGCAGATGTACTGTTGAGTCACCAATTAATTTTAGATGATATGGTTATTTTCTGTTTGCAGGAACTAAATATATTAGGTATCTGAACAGGAATAGCTCAAGTTTCACTAATTTTGCACAGTTTAGTAGGTCTGGTGTTATTCTTCAGCTACTGAAGCCTTCCTCACTAGCTGGAGAAATTCCAGATCATTAATAAAGATAATATGCACTAATCACAGGTGTGAGAATACAGTGCAGAGAGAGTCAAACCATTTCACCTATTTGAATGCGGTCAGAGGACACAGCAGCAAGGGGAGCGGCTACTCAGAGTGAGACAGCAGATGGCCACCAAAACAACCCAAGTAATTCTCAGGGGAGACCGAATTTTCTGCTGAGCAGTAAACATCAGTTGTGTGGGTATTTCCACACACCCACGCTTTGATCCTGACCACATACACACTTATTGTAAGCCAAACTTTCTGATGGGACCACTCATGACTTCTGGTCAGCAAATATCCATGTGTTTTCAGAATGGCCCCTGTATCTGAACTGTACTTGCCAAGTCAGTGTGTTGATCTTGCTTGTAGCTGACATTCTTTTAACTTCACTGCAAGAAAAAAGTTTGCCCCTGCCTCAGTGCTTCTGATCTGGTAATCAGGTGGCTTTCAGACAGGCCATTCCAGTAAGCAATTGAAAAAGTAACACTGCATTGACTATTCACATTGAATAGAAAACCCACACTGAAGAGCAATGATCAGAAAAATCTGAAGACCTGGGATTTTTCTATCAGCTTTTTTGATTCAAAAGCTTGGGAATTAGATACTGCCATTCGTGAATTAAAAGAGAGGGTCAACATGAAAACATTTCTATCAACTCCAGCAATGAAAAGCGATTGCACTACAAATATGTTAACAGAAAGCATTCTTTGGAAGATGTTTGGAGTACCTATAAAAACGTTGCATAATCAGACTCAGACAGCTTAGCAAAAAAGAAAACCACAAATACCCCTACAGTATTTTTAAAAGTAGTTTCCTCTCTTTATTCAGGAACATCCTGGGAGTGGCTCCTGTGCATAATAGCATTTTCAACTACAGCAAGGAGCTGGCAAAACTGTGGTTATTCTAGATGTTTTCTTGTAGAGCACAAACATGCCCATTCAGAGAACTGCTCTAATAATTTCCTTGGAGTAAAGGAAAAGAATTTAATAGGAATCTTGAAAAAGGCTCCAAGTGATATGCATATGCACTGAACTTCTGCAGAGGTACAGAAATGCTCAGGCTGTTATCAAATCTCCTCTACTGTGTAATTAAAAAAAATAATAATCATCCAGGATGAAGATTTCTGCTAGGTATCAGACTTTCTAGATACGTACCTATGTCAGTAGTCAGTCTAGATCTGTCAAAGGCAAATGCAAAGGCTGGGCACTTCCCATAACAAAGGATGCAGAAATCCAATCTATGTGCTATATCATGCCTATGCAGAACTGCCTTGACTAACACAAGCATAATTTGGGGGTGCGAGTGCGATATTCAAAAAGCTGAGCACATGTGTTTCTGGGAGATCATTATACTAAGTTATAAAAGTTATAAAAGAGTGGTAGTACAGTGGCTGTCTTTCACTCCAGTGTAAAATCAGTATGTGCCCCATCAGCATCCTAAGATGGGTACTCCAGTAACAGAGGTTGCAGCTGGAATTCATCAGAAAAGCCATAAAGTGAGAAAAGCTTGAAGACTGCAATATTCTAGTTTCTCAAAGCACACACTCTGTGTTTAACAGTAACTATTGCTAAAAAAGTGGGCTGATAAGGACAGAAACAACTGCAGCCTTGAGAATCTTGTAATGCTGATCAAGCTTTTTTTACTTTGTGAACAGAGGGTTTAAAGGGTTAGCTGTTACCCTTGAATTTCATTCAAAATAAGATATAATAACGATAGCTGGGCACTGTAAATACAGCAGGGTTGTTTACCTTCAATTTTGCAGATCTCAGTGAGAAGTTATTTTCCTTTATTGCAAATAACCTTAAAAACCAATAGCATAGAGGCACAAAACTGAGCTTTCCTCACTGTTTCTTTGAGATAATTCAGTGTTAGCTTTGACAGTGTGTTTCAAGACATACCTTATACTACCTGAAGTGAGCTCAGTGGTGCAGTTATAGAATTTTTACCATAAAATCTTCAGTAGTTTCCTCTTATGCTTTGCTCACTTCCCAGTGATGCCTGATAATAAAATCAGCTGCACAACGTAACGTACATGCAGCAGGTTTGTGATGCAGCTGTCGCAGGACCATATGGCTTTACATCAGTCTTTTGCACCAACCCTGGCACAGTGGTTGTTCTAGAGAAGAAGGAAAACAGGAACAGCACTACTGAGCTACTATTTTTCTGGTGGATTTGGGGTTTAGCTTATGTTCAAAGCATGGCTCTTCACAACAGACAGATCCATGAGATGCTGCTGTAGCCAGCATCCCTAGAGGACTACAGGCTCCTGAGTGCAAAGCCAGGAGGCACCTCAGAGCCCCATATCCTGCAGCACTCCTGGCTTTGCGTGCCATTTGTGTGGGAAGGCTGCAGTGTAACCACAGTCTGTAGTACTCCAGCTCAAGGTTCAAAGGCAGACTACCCTCTGATACAAGAACAGGCAGGAAGCCAGGCAGACTTCTGGTTTTGTGAACAATTGCAACTGATTGACATTTTCCTATAAAATTTCCAGTTAAACAGTAAAGCCATAAACTATGGTTTAAAGGAGAATTAGAAGCCGTCAGGGAGAAATAAAAAATGAAAGTTCTCTTTTTGCGTGAGAAGCGAATGAGGATTATTCTGCTCATCTTTAAAGGACAGACAACATGATTCACTAAACTAGAACTCCAGTGTTTACTCTTGATCCCATTCTGAAATGTAGGTCTTCCCTTCCTCAACAGGATCCCACTAGTCTCCCTTCTCCCAGCCTTCCCCAAAGCACCTGGCAACCCTCAGACTTACTGCATACCTGATGCCCCACTACCTGTTCATTTGTTCCAATTCTTTCTCAGTCTTACTCAAAAAAACAAAAACCCACACCAAAATGAAAAACCTCTCCACAATAACTCATCTCTATATAAATAATTGATCAAAAGTTCCCTTACGAATCCTGTAATTCTTGTATTTTTAAGCAAAACTTCAGAGATTCCAAAATTTATCAGATGGGGAAATCAATCATTCATGAAGCAAAAGCATAAAAAATGCAAACATCTAAAAATAAAGTGAATTAAAAACCTGGAGATATTTAGGAGACTCACTCCCTGTTTTTAGGGAGGATTTTTTAATCTTCACAAGCCAGTTATGTGTTATTATCAACAATCAATTCTATCTTAATCAGTGCATCTTCACTTTTCTCCTGTATTTCTCTGCTACTACCTTTCTCTTTCAAAAAAAATTCGTCTTTCAACCCCCAAAACTTGCCAGTCACAAGCAGCTTTCTTCAGGTTGATCACACTATTTCAGTCGAGTACATTTGTCAATTCCTTACATTACTGTTTTTAAGCCAAATGCTGAAATTGCTGTATTCCCAACTGGCATCTTTACCTATTCACTAGCTCTACAGAGAAAGGAAAATACATTTGCCATTAACAACCTCTTCATAACATCATCTGTGTAAATAAACACAATTTTCCCTCCCCACCTAGCATGAGGAGAAAACACAGTACCTGTCTTGTTCCTGCAACAGCGAAAACAACACAATCGTTAATCACAGATCAAAAAAAATAGACGTTTAGAGCATGAATGACTGCTTATCAATGAGGCGACAAAAAACACGCCTCTCTCTTAAGTGTTTTCACAAAAGGTCTCAGATGAAAATAGGAAAGCAGTGGTAGCTTAGAAAAAAATAAAAACAGGGAAAATCACTTACTGTACTTGGTTCTGCAGAGGTATTCAACACAAACATCACCCTTCCTTGTCCAGCTGCCAAGTGCTAAAGCATGAAATGAGCAGCTGTTTCCTTCAAGCTGGGGCTGTGTGTCTTAACTAGTCACATGCCCCTCCTGATAAATCTCACTGCTGTGCCAGGAGGTCAGAATCTGAAGATCATTATTCCCCCTATTAGAAAATCCTTTTCATAATAGCAGCCTTTGCTAAAACGCTTGACTGGAACGTGGCGCTATGTGTTCCGTAACTTCTTTTTTCCCCCCTTCTAAATGACTAACGCCCAACAGTAGATAAGTCTTAATCAACAGCAGGGGCAGTACAAATGGAAAGTTAAACAGATCTCTGTTGATTGCTTCAATTTTGCACCTGACTTTATGATCTGCTGCATTTAAATTCAGTCTTCCTGTCAGGAAGAGAACATTTTAAAGCACAGTGGTGTTCTTAACATCTTTAAGACTTGGTCTCTCCACTGATCACACAAAATAAGGGAACAATCACGCTTTCGGAGATTAGGCATATTTAAAGGGCAACATCACTACCTCTTATGTTTACATAGTAGAATGATGAGTGCCTTAATAACACTGCAGATAATTTTTATTTTGGTGCCTACTATTTTTGCAGCACAGAGACAGAGCCCCATTGTGCCAGACATTGCCTGGTCACACAGGGATACCTCTTCTGGGTTGGGGGCTATCAGTCCAAACTGAGTCAACAAAATGGAAAACAAAAGCATCCTTATCCCCCTGTTCCTAAATGTAGGCAAATGAAAGTATAGCTCTGAAGTAAAAAAAAAAAAAAAAAAAAAAAAAAGACAGATTCTAATGGAATTTTCCAGGGAGATACGTGGCCATATATTTCTGAAATATAAGTGAGATTTTGTAGCCTAATTCCCTACAGCTTGGCCATATATTTAAATATATTCAGGTGTTCGAAGGTAAAAGCGTGCAGTCAATGGAATTTTGAGGGTGAGATGCAGAACTCAATTTTCTGAAAAGTTGAATTTTCAACACGCATATAGGAAATACCAGGCTGAAACTCCAGTGGTAGCTTATATCAAAAAACCTGACCAGCACACTGTTTCTGTACCTCAATATGGGGTGCAGTAACAATGGATGGTATCTTATGGTTTTGCGAGTAAACCAGACCTTGCAAGATCACAGTCCCACTGAATTATAAAGGCATTTTCCTGAAAGAAAAGCTCTGCTAATGGTACCGTATTAGAGAGCTGAACAAATTCAAAGGATTGCTCAGAGCCAAAAAGCTACCCATTTATTTCAATTATTCAATTTTAATTGCATATCTAACTGGCACATTTGTCAGAAATCAACAAATGCCCTCAAGTTACTGAAGATGAAAGCTGCAGGAAAAAAAAAAAAAAAAAAAAAAAGAAAGAAAGAAAAGAAAGGGGGCAATTCAGGTTTCTTGCATTGACCCTACCCAGCTCTTCACATTATATAAGCTTGCACATGGTTATGAAACCACACAACCTTCCGTGCTGCCAGCACAGCCTGAAGCAGGGAAGAAGCCCTTGTGATTATTATCCATGCATTTGTGTGTCTCTTGTGGGTGAAACCACTGGGTTTCCTTGAAAAGATTTAATGAAAAGCCTCCTAAACATTCTCATCACCCAGCAGCATGAAGGGGTAGCAGCCTGTCACAGGACCCTGTCTGTAGGTTCAGTGCTGCAGGAACCCCATGGCCACAGCCTCAGTCAGGGGTCTCCTCATACCCCTGAAACTCCAGCCTGTCCCTGGCCACGTGGCAGTGTGCCTGCTTTGTCCTCGCTCATCTCTGCACCTGCACCCTGCTAACACGTGTCCACAACGGACAAACGAGAACGAAGCGTTAGCTCAGCGTTTCTTCATTTTGTAGCCAGGGAGACTCCTGGGTTTTCTCCCTAAGGACGGTTCTGGTGCAGCAGCCTTCCTCTCTTGCTGGCACCAGGGCAGAGGCTCTGGGATGCTCCCAGGCAGCCACTGGGGCTCTTGCAAACACAGAGATGTTTTTAGAAGGTTTTACCTTTCAGCCTAACCGAAATGGCATACTCGGAGACCCCTCGTACTCCTACGGTCCCTCGTAGCAGCAAGGAGCAAGGTGTTGCACGCTGGCCCCACAGCAGCCCCCAGCGGTCTGAGTTCCCCAGTGCAGTACAACCCGACCCACCGCAGCCACCTGTGGCCCGCTCCTCGGCGGCCATTTTCCTGCAGCCACCTGTGCTCCTCAATGCAATGCACCTGGAGCGCCGGGTCGGCCATCTTGTGCGGTGCTAAGTGGGGCTGGCAGGGATCGTCTGCTCGTCTGGCGGCTGAGCATCGTGCGCGGAAAGCAAAATTACACCAGGTTTCAGCTTTGCCCTTGTAAGCAGGGTAAGTAAGCGTGGCATGAGGAGGGATGCTTCTGGAAAGGCAGTTCAGTGGCTAAATAACTGATTTATCCTACTACATGGTAGGGCTTGGCAATATGGCAGCGACTTGCTCCTCTTAGAAGCTGCTTCCCTCTGCCTGAAGACGTTGATCTGGCCTCTAAGTAGAGTGCCTCCATGCATGGGCTCTGTATGAGGTTTTTAAGCTGCTGAGGATGTCTTAAAAGAACGAAGGAGGTTGCAAAAAGGAAGGGTTTAAAAATGAGAAACAAGCCCATGAGGAATGAGTGCCTTTAAGTTCAGGACACTGGGAGAAGGATAATTTCAAAGAGGTACTCAGAGCTGTCCCTGCAGAACTGGGTGGCAGGCTGCTGCACGCCTTACTGGTTATGCCTCAGGACATAGCCCATTGACCACAATAGTTACCTTTGGTAAATGCCATTTCATTCCTCCTAAACACTGCTGTCATTTGAGATCGAGATTAATTGAATTTTATACATGGTTTTATAAAAGAAAAAGATCATAAATTTCATTAGAAAATTAATTATAAAATTACTCTCTGCTGATATTTCAGAAAGCCACCTGTGCTCCTCAATTCTGTTCTGTATAATGATCTGTCAATCTGCACATAGTGCTGTGATTATTTTGTTCATTTCATGGATTATGCAGAATACACAGCGCTCTTTCAGATCTATCAGGAACCTTTAATGTTTTCCATTGATTAAATGCTGGTAATACCCACATGATTTAAAATAGGACGCAGCGGTCAGTCATCGCTGGCCTGAAAATCTGCTATTTTTATTTGGTCGTCAATGTTCCACATAGGGCCATAATTTGATAAGAGTGCCTAAATGGCACCTTGGGATATGCTTTCTAAACAGTGAAGTAAACTTTCTGAAATACACTGCTTTATGTGGATCAGTAAAAGTGCTGTCAACTGATTGTGGTTTATGTGAGGAAAAATTTTATCAGGTTCTCACACAGAGTGATCAGATTTCAGTCATCGTGGAAAAAAACCAAATGGATAATTGGGGCATAATTCCTGGAAATAAAACTCTCGAATATTTTGTGAGGTTGTTTTTTTGTTTGTTTCTTTTTTCCTTTTGTGGAAAATACATTCAAAGTTATAAGGTAGCTAATGTGGACACAGCAAATCTACAAAAATGCTGTTGTATTCCTATCTCTATTAGAGTACATCTTCTCTGTGACAAAATAAATAAATATGCAACAGTGTATTCAGTTTCTTCTTATGTTAAGAAAACAGCTCAAGGCTTGATAGAAAAGGATATATTTTCGCTTGTGGTAACTGATGTTTTACATAAAAACTAAGAAATGAACATTCCTCAGAGGGGCCATGAGAAATAGTGAACAGTAACAAAGAAGCATGGTGTGAAATTGTGATAGTATGTTTCACAGCTGCCTTTCAACTGCTGTTACTGCTATCTGTTTGGATGTGCTTGCCTACGTTTTGCTTATGTGTCATTTCATTTCCAAATTTGGCAGTGATACAACATTTATCTCAGCATCAATGCTTTGAAACTGTGCTAAATCTTGGAAAGTATAATTATTTTCTGAATATGGCAGTTACAAAGTGGCCTGAAAATGCCTTTTTATGTTGGTGCGTTCTGCAGTTTGTTTAACAGGAATTAAGATTCTCAATGGACACAATTGTACCCTCTGAGAATGTGAGTCAGGTTATGCTAACTGCAAGTCTGCAGTATTGCATTTGTTTCTTAAATGGCTGCACTATGATTTGGCTGCTATCTTTCAGAATATTTGGAATGTATAGCTAATAAACAGCGTCTCATTTTCTGGTCTGCCTCATTGCTGCAAATACTATATAGCCTTCACTATCAGCAGATATGAATGAAAGCAGACCATGGAAGTGTTTCCTAGACAGGATGTTTTATAAATACCGAAGTGCAATTAAAAAGCCTGCTATAAATAGTCTAACATCTCTCATGCTGAGCTGCCAGCTAAAGGGCATCTGAAGAACATCATGGAAAGGAAATTTTGCTGAAAATGTTTTGTGTCTCTCAGCGTTCCTCTGCGTTCAGTCAGTTTTAAGCATCTATAGGCAATGCTACGTGCCTGGCAATCTGTGAATTCTAAGTTCTTCAACATTATGTTCAGTGCTCTAGGGGGCACAGCAGTACTGTAAATGTGATCTGTACCTCCCCTTTCACATGCAAGGATACACCCAATATTTATGTTGTGGCTGAGAAATTGAAGATAAGATTAGGTCATCCTTGAGTCCAACTCTTGAAAAAAGTCTCTTCTTCATATCAGCAATTATAAGTCATAGGTGGAGCCTATAGCAGTACCTGGAGTTGAGGTTGTGGTTGCTTTTCATCAGAAAATGAATGCTTTTGTTTACTTTTTAGCTTATGATAATGTAGGAATATAAACTGAAATTCTCTGTGTTGCCTGAATATTCTTATGTGTGTTAATCATATGCACATGTTCAGCTTAGAATTTGCAGTTTGTGTACTTAATATCTGTGTACTCAGAACTGCAAGTTAATAGTAATTGTGTCTTAGCTGATGCAGTATTTTCTCTGAAGATGTGATCTCTAATCTCTCTTATCTCCCTATACAAATTTGGCATGAAACATAGCGGGTAGTTTTCATTTTTCTGTACCTTTAGTCCTAAGAAATGGGATGAGCATAAATAAATGTGTGAATAAAGTAACTTCTTATCCATGCAACATTTAACAACAACAACAAAACCCAAAACAAACAAACACACCCCCTCTTCCCCCACCCCATACTCAAATAAAAAAGCAAACCCACATGGAATTGCATCTTAAAAACATCTCTTGATGTTCAACCAAGATGTTTGATGTTTCAACCAAGACCAGGATGGAGTTCCTATAGAAAAACACCAACGGGGCAACAGCATGCATATGAGGCATTTCAGTTTCAAGTTTCCCAGTGTTTTTAGCACATTTATCTTCGTTAATAGATTCTTTGTTGTTTGATGATAAAACTGCATAAAATTGTTACTTGTTAGTTTATCCATGATGCTTCTCAGTCAGCATTGTGACTTTCGTTTTTACAAAAGCAGCATGAAATTGCTATCAGTTGCTGAGGATCAGCTGAATCAGTGTGCATTTCTATTGTTGTTGATTTTTTAAAAGCAAATGAGAATTTTTTTTATTTATTATTATTATTATTTTTTTGTAATATCTAATGTAAATACAGAGAAATACTGACAAATATAAATTGTTTAATTGAATGCTGAGGAGTAGTGGTGGTGCCTTTGCCCAAGACATAGAGTGAAATTGGCCTGTGCAGTCAAAACAAGCACTGTGGGCTTCTTTGCTGGCAGTAACAGTATCTTCACTGTTTAGTTGTTGTAGTTTACAAACCACAGAACAAAACAATAAAAGCTTTTCACTATCTACCTTATATAGCAGTCTGACTAGGGTGGATATACTTGTGTCAGAAACAGCTTGAAGACTGTGCTTCCTCACCTAGATGTGGTATCACCACTTAAGCACCAATCCATCATAAAGGGTGCTATTTCCAATACTACCCTGATTATTCTGACTGTGAAATTTCTAAACAGACTTGTGTGTTTAGAAGAGATTTGTGTTCTAGATTTCTCTGACCATCCTCACCCTAGGTGGTGTTTCACACAAAGATGGGGCAGTGCTGCATTGTTGAGTGCACTGTGGATAAGTTTGTTGCAGGGCAATGGTGAGTTAATCAGCAGCTTCTACAGTTTAAATGCTTCAGCAAGTGTTTTTTTTTCTGCATTGATCTAAGCAAGATTACAAGTGAACAAGAGCATGGCATCAGTATTTTTTTCTGAGTTCTTCATTACATGGTCTCTCAGATATGAAGCAGAATGTTAGTTGCATGAAAAGTTTTCAAGTCAGTAAACATATGTTAAGTGATACATTTGTTTCTATTTTACAGAAAGTACCAGCTTACTTGTCTCTCCTATTATAAACTGAACTGATTTCAACTTTGGCTTGTGTAAGTCACCTCTCAGTGTTTTTTTTTCACTCAAAATTTATGTTGGAAAGACTGCTATTCTACCACATCTACCAGTTTTTATGTGAATCCCCATGTTGTCCATCTCAAACAATTTTTCCATGACTAAAGTACAAGGCATTTATGAGCTTTTTCAGTATACATAAGAAGTGAAAAATGTTTTTTTTCTGTAGTGTAAATTTTGATGTATATGTTGACACCACCCAGTGATTCTTGGTTTATCAAGTTGATCTTCTCAGTGGGGCAGCGTGAGCTGATGCTGAGCACTGCTGAGCATCAAACTGAAACAGTACCCAGAGCTGGAACAGACATCCCAGCGTGCAGATTTATGTAGTCCTTTTACATTGACTGTACAGGAGTGGAATAAGGGAATCTAGGGAGAAACAAAGCTGAAAATCAAACCTCTTTCCTTCTGCTTCCTTGAAAGAACCTGAACAATTCTTTTTTTTTAAATCTGTTTCTGTCATTAATAGTTAAAAGCAAAACAGAACAGTAATCATGCATCACTCCTTTGTTATCAACAGCAATTTAAGCTTCTGCTTGCACTGTAAAGTGAGGCATAGATCGTAAGTGCCTAGCTTGGTAGAATTGACAGGCAGTCTCCACTAACATGTAGAATGTAACTATGTTATCTGTCAATCTGTGTGAGCTCAGTAGTGTTGTGTGTGAGCATTTTGGAGTCTATGCTTACAAACTTCCTGTGAAATGAGTGAATTTGGATCCATCTGTGCTTTCTGTATGTTATGATGTACCCAGTGCAAAGATGAGAGAGGCTGTTGCTTCCATGCTCATGAGTTGAGGAGATTTGCTTATTATAGTCAAAACAGTTAATATTTTTGTATGCCAGAGTCCCTTGGGGCCAAGGTTGCTGTATGCATTACGCTTTGAATATGGGCCTTTCTCTGTTGCTGATGTTCCCATTTCATGTCTCTTAATGGTATGAGGACACTACTATGCTTTTTCATGGTGCTCAGGGACGTGATTTAGCAGAGGGTTGTTAAGTTGTGGTTGGACTTGATGATCTTTAGGGTCTTTTACAACCTGAGAAATTCTATGATTCTGCTTTTAACAATTGCTTAAGACACTTAACCCTCCTACAGTAAATATCACAGAAAGATGTACAGTATCCAGAATTCTGTATATAAACTGTATTGCTATATAAAACCATAGTGTTATGTGAAGATAGAGTGGAGGTTCCTTCTTTTAAGAAAGAAGGGACTAACCAGGCCTGTGAGGAAGGTCAGTCTGTTTGGAAGAGCTCAACATTAGTTCACTATCCTCCATTGCCTCTTCACATTTCTGAATTAGGGACTACTTTATTGTTCAGTTGAGTTTGAATGTTTTTTTTTTCAGTTTTCCTTTCCCCTTTCTTAATGAGCCAGCTTATCTTTGAAGATCTATCTTTAGCCTCCCGAGATTATTGTGGTGCAGTAATAATCCAAAATAGTAGTGAAACATCTTATGAAACTCTATTGGAAAAGTGAAGTATGCTAGGATATAAAGGATGCTGAGAATTCTAAGCTGTCTAAATGGAAGTGTTGGTTCTTTTTCATTCTTAGTGCAATGACCTACAGCTTTATAATGTACAATCTCTTGTGAATTAACTAGCTGGATAATGCCAGGGCCTGTTAGCTTGACAAAACGTTAAATTCACCACAAATGGAATTATTGTGTTGTGTGACTGAATCATGTTATAGAGCAGCTTTGCATCACACCTGGGTGTTCCTTTGTTTACGGTTCACTCCTGCTTTCTTGACCATCACTTCTTTGTAGTGTTGGTAGTGGACTGGCAGGCTTACATTTTCATATTCTTGGAGACATGTGGTCCTGCATTACAGAAATGCGAGAGCAGTGCTGTATTTTGTGTTGCACAGTTGGTTGAGTCCTTCAGTCACTGGGGAAAGTGACTGCACAGTCTGTTAGGGGACCACAACAAAGAGGAATACTTCTCAAAGCCAACGTGCCCTATCTATGCAAGCAGTGAAGGATGCCTACGGAGTTTTGTATTTGTAAGCTATATGGAGAAGTCTTAGTGTATCATGTGGTGTTTTTGATTAAACTTTGCTTAGAATGACTTTTGCAAAGCTATATGTCAAATAGCAGAGTTCTGCTTTGTTTAGATTTCTGTGAATACAATCACTTGGGATGTATAAAACCTTAAGCTTTGTTAAACTCTTAGTTGCATGAAGTGTGGGCTTCCGCATCCCTAGCTGAGTTTTCCACGTAGCCCTGGAGGCTGTATGTGCCATCTTCTCTGTTCTGCTGCAGTGTTGGACATCTTTGTAGTCAAAGGATCTTTGAATCCTGGAAACAACATTATTTGTGGGCAAGGTGTATGCAAGGCAGTCATCTTGTTCCTCCTCCCATTGTTTTTTTTTGTTGTGCATGTTGTATCCTTTGTGACACTTCTATGCTGTTCTATGTATATGGAATATAAAACCACTCTTGCTGAGGCTTGTAAAGGTGGTATCAGGTCAAGTTTCCCATTTCTTCTCATCTTTGCTTCCAATACTAACTTGCTTTGTTTTGTTTTGTTTTGTTTTTAAACTTGTGTTTAAGTTTCTGATAATAAGAAATTTGATGATTTCCTTTTGCTATACGTCTCCATTTGATGATTGCTGCTATGTCTTGTGACTGTTCAGAAACAGACTCCTTATCTTGTAACAACATTTGCACATGGCTGTGTGGTAAATAGGAGAAGGTAAGACAAAAGATATCTGCACATTGGATAAGGATTGTCTGGTAAAGCAGCTTTTTCATTTATTCTTGTTTATGCAACAATACTTTTCAAGTCCACTAAAGGCATAGGTAGCTAAAGTTAATGGTAATATCCCTTCAGGGAGAAGCAGCCCTTCACTGACCTTCACTCTTGTGCGGAAGATTGGTACAAAGCCTGTGCACCGTTCAGTTCTCATTTGAGCTGGGGGATTGGTGTCAATTCAAGCGGTGGTCACTGTTGTCAGTCTCCATTTGCATGTAGAACATCATGAACTGCTCCTTAAGCTTTTATCTTGAGTGCACTACATCCACATGTTCTGTTACAAGCAGGCTAGTTTTTGAGCTTGGTACAAGAGTTATGGGAAAATCAGTGTACTGTGTTTGAAGTCAGACCAGATGATCTAATCACTCTGCCTGCCTTTAAATTTTATCATCCTGTTGAAATAATTTTGCTTAAAATCAATGGGACAGCTCATATGCTTAAATTTAAGCACCTGTATAAACATTTGCACGAGTCAGGATGTTATTCAGCACATAGTCATAATTTCTTTGATAATGCCTGAAAAAAACCAGCTTATTTTTTATGCTGGCATTTCTATTGTAAGTGTTGTGCAGCTGCTTCTTTTTGAAGAGCAATCTTGATGCTGTTGGGAATTCTGATTTCTTCACATGTTTTGGCTGGGCTTCTTTTTTGTGTTCTCTCTCCCCTACTTCTGCTTATTGAGTGAGACTGTACTGTAGACTGTATATGTGACTTCAGAAAACCTTTGTTTCTCTGGGTAGATCAGTGCTTCCATGTCTTTGCTGGGTTGTTTTTTTTTGTTAGTTTGTTTTTAGCGTTAGTGGACTTGATGGACTTAGAGCACACAGCTCCCTGAGGTAAGAGAGCCTGCTGTGGTAGAACAGGGGCTTAGAGAGAAAAATTGGATATACTATTGCAACTGCAAGAGGAATAATAAATCCTGCTAAACCTGACCTACATACCTGGTTGTTTCTGTTACCCAAAATGCATTTTTTATGTCAGGCGAGTTATCCTTGAGTCAGACTGCTCTTTCCTGGGAAGCTCAGTAGTGTGGGGTGCCCACAGTGATGGCAGCTGACTGGCATGCAAGTGGTTTCATACTTCAACCTTGCATTTTTTAATTAAACCCCCTCAAAATTCAGATTGCTTGTTTTGTCTCCCTGCAGGTAAATCCCTTTCAGAAACTGAAAGGAACTTTGCCTGAAGGAGGGCATGCTAGCATTCTATGCTTATAACTCAAACTGTAGCCTAAAAGGCTTTTTCTTGAAAATACCTACAGAGGCTCCTACTTGACTCTCATTAGATGTTTTATCCTTTACAAGGCCATGCTTATAGACTCTAGGAAATGAGAATTACTGTAAATAATCGAGTACTTTGAAGTCAGACAAAGAGAAGCCGGATCCTTTCTGTGAGTGTTATCTAACATCTGTTTCATTGGAATTGCTGCTTGGCACCTCCTTGGATGCAATTTTCAGCTGAATGCTGCTGTTTACAATTGCCCTATCGCAGCTTTTCACCTACATGGCTGACATCCTGCCTTGCTATCTTCACTAAGACAGACTTCAAACATAATAACATCCTACGGGGATACAGTATAATAACTACACACCGTGCTTCCTTTTCACTGGGGGCAACTTTTCACAATGAGCCACTAATCCTAAATAACACTGAAATAACACATGAATAATCTGAATAGCACGTGCACAGAGGTAGTGTATTAACACAGGTGAGATTCCTAGAAGGTTACCCTCACAGCTGTTCAAAGGCAATAAAACTTTGTTGCTGAAATCCTGAATCTGGTATTCTGCAGCTTCTATCCTCCTGCTTTCAAATGGCAACTTTTCTTTGTTAGCAGAGGGCGTGTTTAAAATAGAAGAAAATAAACATGATCTTAAAATAATTTTTCCTCTTAGAAGTCTGTCTTGGTGATGCTAATTCAATTAATTGATATGGTCTGCAGACCATTGTGTCTTAAAATGAAGCTTTCTACGTATGATGCCTCGATGATATTTGTCTCTATCTGAAAATAAGCATATTACAAAATCCCACTCACATTTGGCTGTTAGTTTTAATTAGACCTCCGAGTGGTAATTACATGGTGTTACAAAAAAGCATGAAGAATGCTAGATATTTATATGTACACATGGGGTATTGTTATGCATTTACCCACATACCTAAATATGTGCCATAATAAAATCTGAGACTGTAGAGACTTTCACTGCTTCAATTTTGGCAAAGTCCC